GTTGACCTGACAGAAACCTAACCCAACCCAAGGAAATGTTTTCTGTATGATCCCTGAAACCACAGGAAATTGGGAGCATCTTCTTACTCTGGGGACATACCTGCTGAGAACCTGTCCCTTGCTCTAGTGAGAGGGAGAATGGTTTCTAGCTTTCCTCTCCTCCATCTGTGGCTGTGCTTGCTCTTTCCACTACTGAAAACAGCCAGGCTGCCCTGAAATACTGAGCAGAACTCTCTCCCAGGGTTACTGACTGTCCCCAGGGGAAATCATACGGATTAGTTAGTGTCTGTAAACTGCTTGGTAAGAAAGAAAGAAAGGGAAAAAAAAAAAAAAAAGTAATAGACTTGTGTTAGGAATTGCTCCTCTCCCCAGGGCATCATTGCAGATTCCTGGTAGCCCACCACTCATGCTGTGATCCATGGGAAACTATAGCTCCCAGTTACTTTTTGGGTAGTTGACTGAATTTGCCGGCCCCCTTCCCTAATCTTCTAATTCAGCTAAAGTATGAGAGGCCAATGGGTCTGAGTAGGAGAGCAGCGCTTGGCCACCTCCCCCCCCCTCCAGCACAGTCCTTTCACCCACATTCTTTGCTGGCTAGGGAGAAGAGAGCAAGGTCCCTCTTCCCCTCTGCCACCCTGCTTTTGGACAGATTCCCAGAGAAGCACTTTCTCTTCTCTTTGGCTCAGACCTGCAAGTGCAGGGCAGGTTTTATCCCCATTGCAGCACTTCACTCCCAAGCCTCTCCAGCTCTCTTCCACAGTAACATCATGCGCTCAGACAAGACGACTTCTGCACTAAAACTGGGTCCCCAATGGTATGGCAGACTCCAGGAACAGGCCTGGTCACCTTCCTTTGCTCTCTTGGATGATGCTGGTGACTATCTTTTGCTGTCAGAGGTGTGTCACAGCAAGATGATCTCTGATTAGGAGGCTACATCAGCCTCAGGGTCTAGTGTCACAGCAGTCAGGAGGAAAGAGGCAGATGTCAGATGTGATGTAGATGGACAGGGAAGCTGAGGGCCAACGAGCAGGCTGCCAGCTTGAAGCTCAGAAATTCAGCACCAAAGCACATGAGATGCAAAAGAAACAGATGCAGGAAATAGCAAGAACTGTGCAGTGACAGCACACGCTCGCAGGGAACAGTAAGCAGCAGGAGGTCTTTCCTGTACTGACAAAGGCAACAAAAAGAAGCTGACTATTTCTCAGACCAGCAGCATACTCTTCCTGCTGCTTTTATGTAAAACTGATGGACAGGATCAGCAGCCTTGCCAGGACTTGGAGCAACCAGCATGGGCTGGAAGGCCTGCAAGGGACTCAGCTGAGGTAGAGAAGCTTGAGTAACCCTGCTGTAGCAAGCCTTCCTAAGACACAGCGCAGTGAACAAAAACTGTGCACCCTCCACAGAGGAGAGGAGCCTGCACTGTATCTCCCCATGTCTCCTAGCACAGACAGGCAGAGACAAAGCATGACATTGACCTATTGGCCTCTGAGGCTACCTTGGCTCCTCCTGGGCACATGCCATTTCTTTCTCACAAGCCCCAGCTGGGGTAATGCCAGCATGAACAGACTCTGTCCCTCCTAACCCCTGCACGACATCTCCATCACACAGCCAAACACAGACCTAGTGAGAACAAAGCCAGCAGAGGAGGGCAGTAGCACCACACAACAGATGGTGACAAGGTAGGAGCAAGCAACTCAGGTTGAGACTGCTTGAGCCAACATGAACAGCACCACTCCCAGTGCATGCTCATCGCCTGAACTTGCTCCTCTACACAAGAAGATGCAGCTTATGCAGGCTCCACCCTGCCACCATACACTCCCTCTCCTGTCCTTCTGTCTAGCTTCAGCTGTCAGGGCCCTGAGTGCACTAACAGGCCTTAATTGCCCTGAACGGCCTCACCTGGGGCCTCTATCCACACCCCTGCCCATGGGTGTGGGGGTGGATGTGTTTTCATTTAAGCTCAGCCCAGAGCTACAAGTCCCTGTCTGAGATAAGCTGAAGGAGTAGTGGTCTATGGCTGTGCATTGTTGGTCCTGACCTGTAGGCTGGCTTACCAGCCTGACCTCAGACTTGCCTTGCCACGTCACCGCAGACATGCCTGGCAATCACTGGGCCTGATCCCGACCTGTGGATTGACTTCCCAGCTTGACTGCAGACTACCTCATCACTGTGAGCTTGCCTGGCTATCTCAGTTCTTAGTCAAACCTGGCTACTACTCTGGGCCTGCCCGGCTCTCCGTGCTCAGGTATTGTAGGGGTGGACCATAGCTGATGAGCGCCCAGGCCTGCTGGCCCTGGGAACCACCCCCCTCATGGCTCCCCTTCTCCTAGGGTGCAGCCAGCCCTTGCTGCACCCTGACATCGGCTCTCCTGGTATGACTGCCAGGACAGCTGCACTGTGAATGGGATCAGGGAACTCAACTGGTTTAAAAATAGCTGTGAGGAAAAAGCTATCAGTTACTTCTACCTGAACCGATTCACCAATACTGTTTGTGTAATCCCAGAAATGTGCATATAGGCACAATTAAGGTAGCAGCATAAGAGCAACAGGCACCAGGGGCTACTTAAGATAAGACTACTGCCAAGAATGAGCCCTGGCAGGCTGGATCAGGCTTTGCTACCCAGTTCAGAAACTCATCTCGGAGCAGCTTGAATCAGACATGTCAGCTAGAAGCCTCTCATCTTACTGGAGGGCAATGTGGCTCCCATATCAGGTCTCACTCTGATCATGTAGTTAGAGTTTTGCTGATTCCCAGAACACAAGACTTCGTACCCCTGCTAAACCTGCAGTTTTTCTGCAGGGCTTTTTTGCCCAACAACTCAGTTGTTCCTGATTGCATCTGTATATCCCAAGGCTTTATGGATCTTGCTAAGATCATGGGTCCTAGGTTCACATTGCAATGAATTCTATAGTCTACGTTACGTATCTGTGGAAAATGTGGAAATGAGAGAAAGGAAAGCCTTTAAATTTAAACTGAGAGTTGTCTTGTCCAGATATTAGTACATTTAGCTGTTCCTTTTAGTGACAAGCTGGTGCTACAGAGCAATCTCCTTTTTGAGGCGAGGAAATCCCAATCTATTCCACCTTGGTAATACCATGCTACTGATTAGCTTTTGTTGTCCTTCGGAACCACTCATTGCTCTGCAGTAACTTTTTTTTTTTTTTTTTTTGCTAAAGCATTGTCCTGGTTTTGGCTGGGATAGAGTTAATTTTCTTCCTAGTAGCTGGTATAGTGCTGTGGTTTGGATTTAGTATGAGAATAATGTTGATAACACACTGATGTTTTAGTTGTTGCTAAGTAGTGCTTGCACTAGCCAAGGACTTTTCAGCTTCCCATGCTCTGCCAGGTGCCCAAGAAGCTGGGAGGGGGCACAGCCAGGACAGCTGACCCAGACTGGTCAAGGGGCTATTCCATGCCATATAACATCATGCCCAGTATATAAACTGGGGGCGTTGGCCGGGGGACAGTGACCACTGCTCGGGGACAGGCTGGGCATCGGTCAGCAGGTGGTGAATGGCTGCATCACTTGTTTTTCTTGGGTTTTGTGTGTGTGTGTGTGTCATTTTCCTTTTCATGACAATTTATTATTATTACTGTTACTAGTATTATATTTCAATTATTAAACTGTTTTCACCTCAACCCATGAGTTTTCTTACTTTTGCTCTTCTGATTCTCTCCCCCATCCAACTGGGGTGGGGAGGGTGAGGAAGCAGCTGTGTGGTGCTTAGTTGCTGGCTGGCGTTAAACCACAAGCAGCATGAAACTGTCTATATGCCATTGACTTTTAGTTCAAAGCACAACCATATCTTTTCCTATTTTTCTTGCATTATAACTGAATGACTTTCTAGTCCATTTCCTCCTGCTTCCAAGCAGGTAATATAGCATTTTAAGGCCCTGACACCATCTTTGGTCTGAAGTAACAAGTTCCCTACCTTGATTACTGCACAGGATTAAGCAGTGCTGCTTGCTGCTCTTGAGAAGTCTCCAGCTGACTAAATAATTTCCGAGCCTGTTCACTTGTGCGAGTCTACCAGGCCCGGTGTCCTGAGGTCCAGCTGCTGCAGCAGGTGACGCCTGTAAGCGCTCATCTGAGCTTTTTCTCAGGTAGCAGCCGACCCCAGGCAGGCATTGCCTCCCTGCTGTTCTACAGAGAGTAGAGTAGGGCCGCAGAGGCCCCCCAAGAGGAAGGGCAGAGTCAGTAACGCTCCCCGGGAGCGCCGCTGCCGCCTGCCTGCGTCGTGAGGGGGCTGCGGGAGCACCGTGCACAGCCAGAGCTGACGGGCGTCTCGGGCGTGGAAACGTCCCCGTTCATGTTTAGCCTCAGAAAGCGGTTTGCGGAGGACGACGCCGTGAAACTCGAGAAGCGGCGGGGCCGGCAGGCCGGAGCAGCGGAGGGGGTGGGTGATGGCGGGGCTAGCGCAGGGTGCCGAGGAGGGGCCCTGACCCGAAACGCCCACCCTGGGCGCCGGGGCCGCCCCTGAGCCCGGGGAAGGTGGGGGCTCCCGGCCCCCCTCCCGGCGAGCAGCCCCGCCGGGTGTGGCGGCTGGAGAGGTTAACG